AAGGAGTACAAGAAGATAGAAATGATTATGGAGACACAGAGGAGAACATGGAAAAGGCCCATCCAGACAAAACATTCTTTTGCCTCTGCCTTCAAAACTGTAATTTTGATAAGGACAACCTGGAAAGCTTATCAAAAACCCTTGAGCTGATTAACTGCCCATGTAATCTGCTTGGGGCTGCAGGTTAAGAAGCTTCCCCTGCCTAGGAAGGATAAATGGACCTTCTTGTTCTATACTCTTACAGAGTGCAGTTCTCTAATAAGTAGCAATCTGCAGAAGGTACCCTGCATTTCAGAGGCAGGGCGTGAGACTGACTGGCAACACGTGCTTCTTGGTCCATGTCCGCTTTCCTGTGTATAGCACAAAGCCGTTTGCAGACTTGGGCCTTGCTCCTTGCTCTACTGCTGACTTGAAATGCAGTCTTGAATAAATCAATTTCCCTATGACAAATTTTTCAGAGCTTAATGATTCCAGCATATGGGTTAAGTCCACTTAAAACTCTATAAAATGTGCAGAAATTAATACCAGTGGCTTAATGCAAGTGGAGGATGGAAGCCAAGTTCCCACTAAATTAGATTGTAACCTGATCCCTACACTGTGAAGCCTTTGAGCGTGAAAGAGCTAGCCACAAATTCTCAGATACACGTCTGCAGGAGGAGTTCCAGCTAGTGCTTGGACTCTTTCTCTGTTAAGTATCACTGATTTTTATCATCTCTGCTTTGTGGTCCTGTCTGTCTGAGAAAATGTATACAACACCAATTAGGGAAAGATGTATATTTCTCACTGTCACTGCTCACATGATCGGCTCACAGTTCCCCCACTGCAGCAGGGGGAACTGTGTTCTGCTCTTTTTTTAGTTATCTAAAGTCTCATAAAAAGTATGTCATGGTGTGTGTGTGTGTGTGTGTGTGAGAGAGAGAGAGAGAGAGAGAGATTATATACAGGGTAGGGAAAAAGTAGATTTACAGTTGTGAGTATGTGAAACACAGTTTATTCTTGTATTACTATTTATTAACTATTGTATCCTTTTCCATACAAACAACTGCAAACCTACTTTTGTCCCACTCTGAACATGGCTGAGTGTGTGTCAGGAGAGGGAGGGCATGGAAGGCAATGAGACTAAAGGTGGGATTGGAGAAGGACAGAAGACACTGAATCACCACCTGCAAATCAGCTCTTGGATATAACACTGTTTGTGTGTGTGTGTGCTTGTGAACTTGATACTCATTTATTTTATTGATAGGAGAGAAAGAAAGCCGAAGTCAGTTTTGTAAGAGTGTTGAGTGATCAGAGAACTCTTAAGCCTAACCCATTCTCACCCCATATTCTTTCAACTACTTTGCACCTGAGCTGGGGCTCTAATCTGATCAGGAAGGGATTAGGTAGCATGAGGGTATTACAGAGAGATACCTCAGGATGCAAAGATCCTTTATTCATCTACTGTGAAGAAGGCAACTAGGCACCTTAGAGGAGCAACATTCAGCTCTGTGAGTATTTCTTAACTTCTGGTAAGTTTAAGTGTAGTATAAAATCAAAGGGATTTGGGGTGACGTGGGGTGAACTTGATATGGCTCTAAAACAAAGACATGGAGGGAGAGAATATGCTGAACGTGTGTGCCTGGACAGGTCTCAGGAATGAAACTGAAAGAAAACATAAAATAAATGCCCCAAAGTTCCTTAGAGTGCTATGTGAAAAGCTAATAAGTAAAGCTTGATTATTACAAGGTCACTGCAAAACTTAATTACTAAATTTATTTAGAAGGAACTGAAACCGGAAAAGCTGCCATTTGTGCTGCTTGTCACTACCAGACCCAATAAGTAGAGACAAGGATTGACTCTTTGTGAGCACTTTATTCCGATGCTTGGTGACCTGTGAAGATGGTGGCTTTGTACCCTAACAGACCATCTTAAATTCCATTTTAAACAGACTCTTTTTATATGGAGATGAAAAGTGTGGGAAAAGGGTTTGGAATTAAAAAGTTAATCGGGTAAAAGCTGCAGCATTCTTTCATCTGTGTCCAAGGAAGTGGGCATCTCACCCTGGAGCACAGTGGCTCAGATAGCATCTTGATGGCTTGCAGTCCTCTTGAGGCACAAAGGTGGAACTGCTTATGGTCTCCTGGAGTTCAAGTGGGTCATACCTTCAGTTCCTAGAACAATAGCTTGTGCATGCATTGATTACTAAACTTATTAGCTATTACCTGAAACTAAAATTTTCAAACATTTGAGCCCCCCATCAAAACCCAAAATGGGCCGTGTGTGTGTGTGTATGTGTGTGTGTGTGTCTTCAGAGCACCATTTTCAGGGAAAGAAGTGATCTGGGGAACTGAAAGGTTACACAGCAAACAGGTCTTTACTCCCAGGACATGCTTCAAAACTTGGCTCAGGCCCCAGGGGGCCGACAGGAGAGTGTGGGGATAAGGAAAACTACAGCCAGAGTCATGGTGGGAATGACTGACCGCAGCGTAGGGTGGGTGGCTGAGCCAACTCCCTCCAAGGTGAAAGTATTTGTTTGTTCCAATGTGAAGCAATGTACTTGCTGGATTTTTGTTTTTGTTTTTTCATGGCTTTGGTTTGGGTTTTTCTTGGTTCTTTAAATTATGTGATTTTCTCAGCCTCAACAGGATTCTGGGTGACATTTACGGGCCCAGCTCCACTGGAGGAGACAATACTCTTGAACCTCTTGCTTCTCCACTCCTATCTTAGTCCATCAACAGTAAAATTGTCTGTCTGTTCATACGTTGCTAAGGCAACTGGAAGTCTAGGGTGAAGACAGGAGCATCAGAAAGATTGACCCAGGAACTTTCTGTATTTAGCTGGAATTTATGGAGGATCACCCTCTGTGGCTTCCTACAGCTTCTGTTGCCTTGGGTCTAAGGGGACACTAATCCTGCTGCTTCCCTACAAACTGTACCTTAAAATATTACATTGTTGCATTTACTTCTTTCTGCAGGAGAGCAGTTTGTAATTTCAAAAGGCGAAGGACTATCATTGTTTTGAAAAGCAGGGAAATACTGGATTGCTTGATACTTTTAGAGGCAAAAATGTAAAACTTCCTCTTATAGCTAACATCAAATCTGGTGCTCGTTCAGGATTATTCAGCTCCAAGGATGCCCTTGAATTCCTAGGGACACATGGTCAGGATAAGTTTAGCCCTTGGTGATCTCTGTGGCAGACGGGACTGACTTCCCAGGTAGGAAATGGTCATATTGGGTCTGCTCCTCCCCAAGGTTCTCCAGGGAGAATTGGAGGGAAAATCTCTGGCAGAAACTCTCTAGAGATCGTGACTGTCTTAGGTACCTAAACAAATATTGTACACGAGACATACAATAAACATAATAACAATTACTTTTCACAGTACAAATCCCGAGGGCCTTGAAAATCCAGGGATTAACCAGGTGGCTGTGATGTGACTCTTTTGGAGCAGAATTCTTTTAAATAATATATCATACTGACATGAGCTAGACATGAGCTCTGTCCAAGTCTAGAGTTGCAGCTTCAAAACCATGTAAATATGCAAAAGAAACATACAAGAAAAAATAAGAAGTGTCATCAGGGGAAGATGGAAGTCAAATGTGATTTTTAAATTCTTTAGCATCGATGCGAGGGGTGCCAGAGGAATCCAAGGAAGACAGAACTCCTCCTAAGACAGAACCAGGAATAAGTTCATTGTTGGGGCATTTGAAGGATGCAGAGGATCACCCAGTGAGATGACAGTCGCCTCTCAGTGCATGACAAGGGCTCTTCAGCAGGTGGCCAAAGAACAGGGACATGGGGAGTCCAAGTGAACCTGCGTCACAACTGTAGATGTGTATGCATGTCTTCTGGGCTCCCAGGTCTAGTACCTAGTTATTCTTTCTGGGGCACTTTTCACCGAACACTATTCACATTATCTTCTTTAATTTTCCCCATAACCCTAAAAAAGAAGGTATTAGTTGATTCATTTTAGGAATAGAATAAGGCCCAGAGAGGTTATGCAACTTATTCAAGGTCACATAGCCAGTTTTGTAGAGCAGGAATTTGAAAATGCATCTATTTAATTCTAAAGCACATACTTTTTACACTGCATTGCCTGTACCCCCTGCCCCGCCCCCCCCCCAAGGATAATTTGATTAATTCAGGTCATGTTAGGCCCTTACATTATAGACTCTGGATCTAATGGAGTAGGATCCTAGTAAGTGTTGCCAAATGAAATAGAAGATGACCAATTAAAATTAAATTTCAGATAAATAAATTATTTTTTGCTATAAGTATGTGCCATTAAATATTTGGGATACACTTGTACTAAAAAACTTTGTTGTTGATCTGAAATTCAAGTGTAATTGGGTGTTCTGGATTTTTACTTAATAATCTGACAATCCTAATCTTAGTAGGCTTTCCAGATGAGAGAAAGGAAGGTTCGTGGTTTCTGACTACTTTGAAAGAATTGGGAAGTCCAAAAAACACTTGATCTGAGAGAAATTCTCCAGTGTTTCTCTGTGGCTTTGGCAGAACTGGGAAGTATCAGTTACTGGTGGCACACTCTGAGAAAAATGCTCCTCTTGGATGCCCACCAGTGCCTCCCACGGTCTGAAACGCCCTTCGGAGAGGCACAAACATTGCCTGTTTACCCGGGCAGGAGAGGGCCCATGGCACAAGAACTGGTTCCAGTGAGCAAGGGACCTGGCGGTGCATTCCTGAGCCCCTGAGGGCTTTGTAAGGTGAAGATCCGCTGATGCCTTCTCTGTAGTTTGACGGAGAAGGTCACAGGGCCAAGCTTCCCATTCCAGGTTTTAGTTCAATTTCTTCTTTTATTTATTCATTCATTTGGCATGGCATACCTACTAAGTGCCAGGCTCTGTTGCAGGTTTTGTGACCACAAAAATTGGCAAAACAGAGAAACAGCCTCATGGGGCATATTCCAGTGGGAGATTAAAATGAAATCCTTAATATGAGCAGGTAATCCAGGTGCCTGGCCAGGTTCACCACTCCCGGTTCCAGTTCACAAATTAGTTGATGTGTCTCAGTTGAACAAACTGAGAGTTGGCAGGAGAGGACAAAAATAGAAATTTGGATAAAGAAAATAAGAAAGAATATCTTGAAGGTAAGGATAATATTTTAGCATGATTTTAAGAGTAATAAAAAAGTTGGTGAAATTATACACTATATTTGAGGGATGGGTGATGTGGCAGAAAGAAACAAAGGTTAGCAAAAGCTGAAATTCTCAGAGATAATTGAAGCTAAGGATATTAGCATCAATGCACATGGGTGAAGTGAGCTCAATGAAAGTGAAGCTCCCAGGCAGTGGGTTATGTAAAGGGTCGGCTCAAGGTGAGAGATGAAGTTTCTCTGCAGGTTCTTCGGGGCTTTTCAGAATCTCCCTTCCCAGGTTAAATGTTATCAACTTTTTTGATAGAAAAGGAGAAAGAAACAAAGTCTTTAGGTTAGCAACGTGTGTTTTAAATATATTTTTGTTAATCATGTTCATTGATTTGTACTTGCAGAATGACAAGGTGCAATTCTACAGCTAAAATGAAAGTCAGGGAATACCATAGTGGATAAGTTCACCATTTGCATAGGAGAAAATGTTGAGGATTTCCGAGAAAAGTGTAACTGAAGAGCTTCATGTCTGGCTATGAAGTTAAATCACAAATTTACTACCTAATCACCCCAAATCAAGTTTCCTATTTGTGTGGGTGTGTACTGGGATGTGTTGCGTACTTTCCTGGGTGTTGGTGTAGCCGGTTCAGAGCTACCCCTGCCCAGGCAACCACATTTTTACCCCTGGACCTAGGACAGAAGTCTCTGGGTCATGTGAGGATTAAATAAAATAAAGACTATCAAGAACAAAGGCCATAGAAATGGCTCAACAAACATTCAGAGTCAGGTTACTTAGCAGCTGGGTGGAAAAGCACGTAAAGCTTAAAGAATTCGTCAGTGCTGTAAAGACGGCATTTAGTGGAACTGGAGATCACAAAGGGGAAGTGGACCTTTCAGATAAATAGTGCTTTTCTAGCTTTCACCTAGAAAGCTAGAGGCAGATGTACTGGAACAATATATCCTCCTAGATTTTTGAAATCTACCAGTTGTCAGTTTATCTTCCACTCTATTGAGTGTCCCCATCAATTTATATACCACACTTTCTTTAAAATTCCTTTACAAGATGGTAACTTCTTTTCTATTGTGTCAACATGAAATACTTAAGCTTCTTTATCCAGGGGATTTTCCTTCCTAGTTTACAGTGAGGGAGTAATAACAATGGTCCTCATTGCCTGAAGGCTCTTTTTTTCTTTCTGTCACTGCCTAAGGAGCCTGAAGGACAGCCATCAGCCACCCAAGGACGTCAAAATGAGTGACAATACCTCTTTGGTCCCCCCAGCTTTAAACCAGGGTCCCACCACTCCACGCAAAGGGCCCCCCAAGTTCAAGCAGAGGCAGACTCGCCAATTCAAGAGCAAGCCTCCTACAAAAGGTGTGAAAGGGTAAGATCAAGATGAAAAACAAGATTTTTTATTGTTTCTTTTCTCCCACAAGACTGTTTAAGTTCTGAGATTTAATGCTCACACAATTAAGTAGACTTATAAAAATTTCCACTCCATCTTCTCTTTTCCTCTGTACCACAATCGTTGCTGAATCATGTTTTTAGCTCTGGAATGCTTTCTCCCTCAGCTCCCAGGTCTAAGGCCAAATGCAACATGGCAAGTGGAGCCTTTCATGGTGACCTTTCACTTGACCTTCCGGACTTTTCTTGACCACTCCCTCTCACCAATGTACCCAGGCTTTAACCTGGAACACAGAGCCACTGGCCATTTCCAGAACTCACAGTTTATTTTTATGGCTTCAGTCTTACGTCTTAAGTTCTTTGTTCTTCTCTTTCTCTCCTTGGCAATGTCTCATTTATTTTTCAATACTTGCTCAATAAGTTAATTTCTTTTTGAAAACATTACTGACTCTCATTAATTAATTCCATGTTCACATTTTGTACATTCAGTTATCATTACTTGTACTATTTTATATTACATTTACTTATTTTAAATGTCCTCTGTTCCTTGAGACTGAGCTCTCTCAGAGAAAATTTGTTTTTTCCCTTAACGCCTGGCGCCTAACACAGTGTCTGGCATGTAATAGATGCCTAATAAACAAATGAATGAATTAATCACTTTAATGCCTTCCATGTTGCTTTCTCATTCCAGTTTCTATTTTTAAAGAGTGAAATTAACTAAATCGCCCCACTGATCATTCTTTCTGGCTCTCAATTGTCTTAGGTTAACTTTTTACAGGGGAAAAATATCTCTCCACTGGGACACACTGTTTAAAACCTGCCCGAGGGCATTTGCTTTACCTTAGTACAATGCAAGCATCAGGAGTTTTTCAGATACGAAAGCTTAAACCTCCTTTTCTTCCCTCGAGTCAGGAGATTCTCTATGTGAGTCATTCCAGGTTCCTTTTGCTCTGATCTCAGCTCATTTCTCTTTTATTTTTTTTCCTAATAGGTTTGGAGATGACATTCCGGGCATGGAAGGGCTGGGGACAGGTGAGTCACCCAAAGACTTACACGAGGACATTGCACTTGAAGTTTTATCTTTTTGTCTGCTTCAGGCCTTAAGGGGCAGTTGAAAGTTACTGGAAAAAAAACCAAGACAAGCAGATCTTCTGAGAACCTAAAAAATACGGGGTTTCAATTTGACCTCCCTAATAAGTACGTGCATGCTGAGAGGCAAACACGAAATGAAATCAGGCAAGGCACAGTGTTTAATGAATCCTCTTGCTTTGTTAACTAAACAACTCTTGAGAGAATATAATGGTGAATTGCAGACTTCCACGGTGGAAAGGGTCTCAGTTAGTCTAGACCAACTTCTTTATTTTTCAGAGGAGAACTCCGAGACATAGAGGAATTAAGAGACAATCCGAGGCCATTAGTGAGGTACTGGAAACAGGGTGGGGCCCAGAGAGCCTCTTCACTCCACCAAGCCAACCACTCTTTCACTTACTTCCTTTTTTTACTCACACGCTGGCACCCAGAACAGGGCCCTGCACACTGAATGCATTTAATACAGCATTTTTTCATTGCTTAAGATTTTTTGTTCTTTGCATAATGAATGCAAGTTACTGCATATTCCTTAAAAAAATTAATTGGCTTTATTTTTCAGAACAGTTTTAGGTTTACAGGAAAATTAAGTAGAAAGGTACAGAGTTCCTATATACCTCTCTGCCACCTTCTTCCCCATATACAAAGTCTCCTTTATTATTAATAATTTGCATTTGTATGGTATATATGTTACAATTAATGAGTTGATAGCAATATATGACTATTAACTGAAGTCCATAGCTTACATTAGGGTTCATTCTCTGGGTTGTTGTCCAGTTCTAGGGCCTTTGAAAAATGTACAAGGTCATGTGTCCATCCACCTTTCTAGGTTCACACAGAATAGTTTCACTGTCTCCCAAATCCCCTGTGCTTTATTTACCCATCCCCCCAGATAGTCCTAACAACCATTAATTTTATACTGTCTATAGTTTTGACTTTCCCAATTGTCATACAGTTAGAATCATACAGAATATAGCTTTTCCAGACTCCTTTCAGTTAACAGTATTCTTTGATTTAAGGTTCTTCCATGTCTCTACATGACTTGATAGCTCATTTCTTTTTATCACTGAATAATATTTCATTGTATGGTTGTAGTACAGTTTATTTACCCTATTGAAGGATATCCTAGTTGCTTACAAGTTTTGGCAATGATGAATAAAGCTGTTTAAACATGTTTGTGCAGGTTTTTGTGTGGATCTAAGTTTTCAACTCACCCAATACACCTCTTTAAAAAGTTGAATTTATTGGCGACATGTGTTAGTAAAGCCATACATGTTTCAAGTGTACAGCTCAGTACAATCCACTTTTGATGAATGTTGGCACTCAGAGTAATTAGTGTCCTTACCAGGCAATTCTCAGTGTATTTGCTTTTAGCAGTCAAATGGCACTTTGGGAATCTCAAGTAAATTTTCTAGCTACTTTATAAAGCTCATGTGTTATTTTGCTAAATCAACTGCTTCTGTATTTTGGCCAGATGCATTTAAGACCAACAAATCCACTCTGGAAAATATCCTTCACCCTGCTAACATAGTTGGAATAATAGAAAGAAGTTTATACTAGAAGGTCTGAGGTCTTTGCTGTGGTTCTAGTCCTATTTCTACAACTTGCCATTTTTAAAATAGGTGTTTATTTATCTTTTCTGGGTACCAACCGAACTCCTCTATAACTTGGACATATACTATCTTATTGCCTGATGTAGGTGACCGGATTGGAGGATGCCTTGAGATCACTTCTCAATATGCAATTAGATGGAGGCATTTCACAATGGAAAGAGGCTGAAGGTGTCAGGGAAGCCCAACAAACTCATCTGGATTAAGAGGGAGTAGGGAGGCTGAGGGTTTCCAGACCCTAGGAATTTAAAATGCTCCAATTTCTCATTTTAACCCTTTGCTTGACTAGAATTCTACTTCCGATCCCTCCTTAGTGGCTGTGCTTTGGAGAGATCTGGGGCAGGGGTCAGTGCGATGCACCCCCACAAGGTACCCCCTGTCAACAGCCTTGGGTCACCTCCCCAAAGAGGATGCAGAATAGAACCAACAAAGACACCTGGAAGGGGCCCTCAGAGGATTATTTAAGCAATTGGTCTGATCCTCTGGGCTTCAAGGCTGTTCTGGATAACTTCCCATTCACCTGGACCCTGAATAGGAGACAGGTGTGAGGTGTCTTCTGCTGAAGGATGTCTGCAGAAGAGGCTCTCCTGGGGGTGAGGTTGGCTGATAAATTCTTCTTCCTTCTCTTGCAGATATCACAGTGATCTGCCCCTGGGAGGCATTCAGCCACCTGGAATTGCATGAGCTTGCTCAGTTTGGGATCATCTGAGGCACTAGGGGTTCTGCCACTCTCAACAGCATCTGCTGTAACTTTGATTGCTTTTGCCCTGTTGATTTTGCCCTATTGAGTCTTGAAGCTCAGTCTTGTTCGGAAGTGGTTTCTTTGACTTACAGTCATTTCCTGTAAGTAACTACTAAGAGTTCTCTGAATATCAGACTCTCTCATACAGTATATTTTAGCTCAGAATAATGCGTGAAAATCAAATTTAGTTAGGGCATTTTAAACTCTACCACCTTTTCCTATCAGCTGGTGAGAAGTAATCAATATTGCTCTAAATTTTGTTTATTTATTAAGTTGTTCAAATCTGTTTTTTGCTAGGCATTCTTCATGATTAGTAGTAGGCTTTAAAAATCTCATGTCACTCTCCTTCCTTTCTCATTTAATAAAAAAGATATTTACCTTGACTCTTACGATGAAATTGTATTCAATGCTATATGCAAATATTTGATGCCCTGTCCTAAAAAAAAGCAAACACAGAAGGCACATTCATACAGGAAATAACCACAGTGCATGTGAAAGAGCATAGGATTAAGAGCCAAGTTAGGATTCTTCTTTGTAACTTCATAAAGCATACACTTCCTGGGTCTAACTTTTTTTGAACTTGGCTGACTCTGAAGTCCTGTGCGGGGTTAAATTGTACAGCTCTGGGTTGGTAGAAGACTGGAAATTTGAAGGCAGGACTGACAACGTAAGCCTTTTCTTTTCAGTACCTGATTCATTTGATCGAAAAGATTTCCATACTGTAAAGTTTAGAGTCAGATGCATAGTTGAGATAGGTAGGTGAGCCCTCAAAGTAAAGTGACAGTTTACTGCACCCCCAAAGTTGTGTCAAATGTACTGTGCACATATGTATCTCTCCCCAGTACTTTCAGGGCAGTTGTGCAATTCAGATGCTGCCTCTGTCTGCCTTGGATGCTGTGGGTACTAGCTGTATTAATTGCTTCATTTCAGTTTTGTAATCTGTGGTAAAGAATGAAGTAAATTAACTGAAAAGAGAGACAGAACAGAGAGGAAAGAAATTTGGGTTCTAATCCTGGGTTTACTAATAAATTACTCAGTAATTTTGGGGCCCTTTGAATCCAGTTTGCTTGAATTTGATAATCTAACGTTCATGGTAGCAATAACTTCTGTGACTGTGAGGTCCTCAGAGTCTGAACATGGGAATTAGAGGCTCAGTGCTCAAGAAAATCTCTTTTGCTGCAGGCTCTGTGTTAACTGTTTTGTGCAAATGACCTAGTTACCTTCGGGCCAGGGAACTTGATGCCCACAGAGCACATCTGAATTCGTAGGGGTTAAGGAGGCTGAGGAATTCTGACTAGGGGAATTCAAAGTGTTCCTATTTCTCATTTTGGTGCTTGGCCTGGCTAGAAGTCCACTTCCGTTCGCTCTTTAGTTGAAAATGCTCAAAAGCAAAAGTAAGGTATACATTCTGAAGTGGAACCGTGACTTGCAAGGAATGTGGTGGTCAGGCGTGTTTCCCCTTTGGCAGGGACTCCTGCTTCCGTCACGCACCTGGCTTCAGCCAGTGGCTCTGTTGGTCAGCCTGAGCCTTTGGTTTGCATGTCATCAGCCCGGTGTGCCTCTCAGTCAGGGAGGTCTGGGTTCTTCAGCTGGGTGAGACTCTGGTCCGCATGTGGCTTACTTTGCAAATGTTTCTCTGAACGTGAAGCAATAGCTTTGACAAAACAGTACACACGCAAAGGAACATCTCCAATGGCCAAGATGGAAAACGATCCAGAAAACACACGACATGAGGAACTGTGGAAGGAACTGGTAATATTTAACTTAGAGAAGAAAAATAATAATTTCCAGTAAACATTTGAAAAGTTATAATGAACAGAGTGAAATAGATCTATGTCATGTAGGATTCTAGCATCTAGTTATAAGCTAGAATATATATAATTTAATGCCATTCTAAATTTTACATTTCTATGCTTTCTTTTCCTGAATTCTACAATTTCTCTATTTCAAATGACGAATAAGAAAACCTTTCAATAAACAGCACTTATTAAAGAGACAAAGGTAAATCATGTCTCTGTCAAAGTCCTGGTGGCAGAGATGCATCCTTAGGGTAATCGAGGAAGTTTTAACAAAAGGATTATTTACGAAGGCTTGGGAAGGGCTAAGGAGTATCCGAAAGCTCCCTCAGTTATACATGACCCATGGAGGACCAATATGGGGACTGACTGAGGGAAGGGAGAGAGTGAGGCTGGGTTAAGGTGGGAAAAGGAAGAAAAAGTGGCAACTGTAATAGCATAAACAAAAAAATATAATAATAAATAAAAGTACTTCAGCAACTTGGAGCTACAATATTACTAACCTAAAGCCAGAAGGAAGCCCTAAAGTCTGCTCCAACTATAAAAGTCCCCCTGAGATGGCTCTATTTTTCATTAGAGATGCAACCAACCCACAGTGACACTATATGCATAATTAGGAAGGAGTTAGGGGTCAAGATAATATGTATCCCTAGCACTGTTCTTCCCCAGCTCTCTACTTGCTTGTCAGTGCCTCCCACTGCATAAACCCCTCTGAAAGTCAGAAGGCAGAGGAGCCCAGTGGTGTGGTCAGCCAAGTTCACCTTCAACAGTGAAGATCAGGTGAAGAATGGTGCAAAGTAGATGTGGGGGGCAAAGGGGAAACATCCAGCTCAGCAACTGTATTGATGAACAGATGGTATTTATTAGCAAGTAATTTTTTTGAGTTGGGAAATAACACAGACATGCAATTCTGATGCAAATCACTGGAGTTGAGGAAGTACAGTGTTTAATAAGAATACAATGAACATAAGAGAATAATCACAGAAGAACGTTACCATAGAATTTAAGGGTTTGGAGGATTTTTTGAAATCATCTGCCACTTCCCTGATAATAAGAAGCATTGAAGATCTCTTGTGAAAAACATAAAAATTGGGCCCCACCCCAGATTTTCTGAATAAAAATCTCCAAAGGAGAGACCTTAGAATCTGTATTTCTAATGAGGGTCTTTGGTGATTCTCATATTTGTGCCAGTTTGAAAATACTGAGGTGGTCCAAGCCTATGTTTTAAACATTGGGAATTAGTTAATTCTTAACTTGTTACCATCCAGCCTCTGATTTAACTCATTCTACTTGCCCCAGTACCATATGTAATAGGTGAGCAACAGAGACTAGCATTCATGTTGTCAGGATGGGTGGGGTAGGACAAAATGACAGCTGAACTACAAACCCAAAATGGCGGCTGAACTACAACCCGGAAAAGACAGCTGACGTCAAACCAGAGAGCTGAAAGGGCAGGCTTTGCCAAAATGAATATCCGCATAGCAACCCGAGCCCAAGGAGAACCACCAATGATATACTGCCGCTTTGTTCAAAGGGGACCAATCCCCAGCTCCCACAAAGAGAGCCAACCAAAATAAAACCCCGCCATATTCCCTGCTTGGGCACAACTTCTTTGGCCCCACTTTGTGGACTGGAGAACCTCACCCAGGTGTGCAAACCCCAATAAAGCTCCATACTGCCTAACTTTGTGGTTGATTGGCATTTCTTCCTCGGCGGAGCCTAAGAAAACCTTTCACATGTGTTTTGACTTGCACGCTGTTTTTGCTGTCTAATGAAATAGACACACCTCACTGCTCCAAACCTAACCCGGTTACATGCTCCTGCAATTGCAGAACATGTCAGAGAATTCAGAATGTCCGTGTTGAGCCAAAGCAATTTCAGAAAGTATAGGGCCAAGCCATTATTTCCAGGAATTCCCTTTTGTTATTGCCGTGCATGGCCACCCTTCCTCCAAAGCTCATGTGACCCATGTCCTCACCAGGAGTAAGGGGGACAGGGAGGGAGAGATTTGTGTTGGCAGGTGCCTTCTTGCACTTATCCACTGCCCTTCCCTGTTTGCATCATTGGGTAAAGTTGGGGTGCTGGTGCTGGTGATGAAGGCACCGGCCCTCACTCTAGAGCTCGGGGCGTTATATGCAGAGCAGAAAAGAATATAAAAGGAAAAAATGCTCTGCTGGAGGGTCCCAGTTTAGGCAAATATATACAGTTGTTATTAAACAGTTGCCGCTGTGCTCCTGACTTCTACTTACTTTCTTTGCACAATGAGAAAAGCAAGAATCACCATAAACTGAGGAAAGAAGGCAGAGTATTGTCTCAAAAACTAAAAAGTGAAGGCAAAACAGACATAGACAAGAGCAATCAATTAGACCCAATTTAGCACAAGAAAAACTATCAGACAAGGCTGAACGACACAAACACTAATATAATATTATGAGAACTGAGCTAATGTGACACTGAATTGTTTTAAAGAGAGAAACAGAAGAGCACTTAGATTTTATACAAGGCCAAAGGGAAAGGCTTATATAGGCCGCCAAAGTTACGTGTATGTACAACTAGTATAGTACTTTGTGCAACTCTAAATGAGTTCTTTAAGTTTCTTGAGGGCAGAGTCAGACTATGAACCCTGAAATGCAAAAGCAAGAATGATAAACTGATTGTCTATATCAGTCACATCATCTCCTTGTGGCAAAACATTCAGGCGGCCTGGGTTCTGCCTGGTGTGGGTACACAGCCCCTCTTAGATAATAGGCTAATAATTCTTTATCATCTTTGGGCTCAATGTGTTTGAGAATAAAGCAAGGATTTTGGATTAAAATGAATACTAAGGTCCCTTTCAGTTTAAAATTCTAAGAATCAAGTAATGTACACCTATTTCAAACATGAACAAACTATTATTTTCATGACCAGAAGTCCTAAGGCTCTGAGCCTTAGTTTCCAGCTCTCTTCAGAATGTGTTTTTAACTACTGTCCTTCCCCATTTCTCCAGGCCAGTGATAAAATCAAGTCATGTACAGTACTGCCACCTGCTGCAATGAATGAACACTTCATGAACACTTAGAAGACATAAACCCATTGAGCTAATACTTTTTTTTTAAATTAAAGATTTTATTTATTTATCTTTAGAGGGGAAGAAGAGAGAGAGAGAAACATCAATGTATGGTTGCCTCTCATGCGTCCCTGCTGGGAAATGGCCTACAAGAAACTGGCCTGCAGGGAACTGGCCTGAAACCCAGGCATGTGCCCAGACTGGGAATGGAACCACGATCCTCTGGTTTGCAGGCCTGAGCTCAATCCATTGAACTACTAGCCAGTGGCCCACTGAGCTAATTCTGATCTTGTTCCCACTCACTGATCAATGTAAACCGTTATACTACTTGGCTACCTGTAGTTATCATGTGCATGCTTATCCATGCATAAGATAAACATTAAAGAGTATTAAAGTGAGCATACTACAAGGTAAGTCTCATTTCCACCCAATGCCCCCTGGCCCATTCCATTCGCAGCCAATCCTTCTTATCAGCTTGTAGTGCCTACTTCCAGGGACAATTTGTGCATAGCTATATTTATGTGTACGTATTATTATTCTT